GCACAAAAAGAACAGAATAAAATTGCCTGCATTGAAGCTTGTTACAAAGAAACAGCTAGCACAAGTATTAAAAGATGTCAGTACTGTAATATCAAATAAAAGCACCAGCTCACTGCAAGAAACAAACCAATTAATGTACAGCACGGCTGCAATTATAACTGAATACCTTGGGTGCAAAATCAACAAACAAGAAAAAAAGCCAAACAGTGCACCACTAAAATGGAAGACCGGGTTGGAAATAAGACAAGCATGCTAAAATCAGATGTAAGCAAGCTAGAACAGATGAAAGAAGAAGCTGAAGAACAAGACCAAAAAATACCTGATCAAGAAATATAACCTAGAAACAAGAAAGATCAAAAAGCACTGAAAATAATAAAGCAGCAAATAACAGTCATAGCCAAAAAGATCAGCAGATACAAAGCTCGAATTGTACACTATAGGCAGAATCTCTAATTCCAGTCAAATCAGAAACGTTTCTACCAATTCATCAGTGGAGAGACTGCAATGAACTAGTCAACACCTGCCAAAGAAGAAACAGTGCAGTTCTGGGCACAGCTATGGGACAACCCAAGGAAATGTAGCAAGAATGCAGCTTGGATAAAGGAGGTGGATAAGAATAAAAAAGAAGATGAAATGAAAGAACTTGTAATAACAGCAGACATGGTAGAGAAAAGGGCAAGGAAGATCAAGAATTGGTCAGCACCAGGTGAAGATGAACTGCATGATTTTTGGTTGAAACATCTGACTGGTCTGCACCAATTCATTGTCAAGCAGTTTAACAACATAGTGCAAGGAGGTAAAATTGACGATTGGTTAACATCTGGCAAAACTTACCTAATAACGGGTAACAACAAAAGGGCAGCACCAAGCAACTACACACCAATTATTTGCTTGCCAGCAACTTTCAAATTGCTAACCGGTGTGGTAGCTGATGCAATCCAACAGCATCTAGTTGAAAACAAGCTCTTTCCATCTGTGTAGAAAGGAAACCACCCAAACTGCAGTGGAGCAGATCAGCTCCTAATTGACAAGATGATTTTGGAAAACTGCAAGAGAAGGAAGACCAACCTGAATGTAGCTTGAATTGATTACAAGAAGGCATTCAATTCCCTGCTGCATGATTGGATAATCAAGTGCCTAGAAATAATCGGAGTCAGTAGAAACATCAGAAGCTTTGTGCAAAGATCAGTGGCATCATGGAAGACTCAGTTGCTGGTCAATGGTGATAGACTGGGAGAGGTTAATAGCAAGAGGAATCTTTCAAGGAGACTATCACCACTACAGTTTGTCATTGCATTGATTCCTCTGTCAACAATACTGAACAAGTCAGGCCATGGCTATCAAACATTAGAAACATCTGCTAGGTTATCCACCTCCTTCACATGGATGATCTGAAGCTGTATGGAAAAACACCATCTGAAATATAACTGCTGCTCAACACTGTCCTAATATACAGCCAAGATATTGCAATGGAGTTTGGACTGGACAAATATGCTACCAACCATCAACAGAGGAAAAATAGTGAAAACTAAGGAATCAAGATGCCCTATGGAAATAACATCAAGAACTGGATGAAGAAGATCACTAGAAATACCTGGACACCCTTCAAGCTGACCTCATCAAGCACACTGAAATCAAGAACGTTAGTAGTGAATACATCATGAGAATGAAGAAGATCTTAAAGTCCAAACTCAGCGGAGGAAATACCATCAAAGCAATTAACACCTGGGCAATTCCAGTTGTTAGATACACAGCTGGAATAGTGGACTGGACTCAAGCTGAACTAAAAGCCCTGGATAGGAACACCAGAAAAATAATGACAATGATTCATGCCCTTCATCCAGGCAGTGATGTTGATAGACTATTTACCAAGAAGCATAGATGGGCATGAAATGTTGCAAATACACCAGACAGCTAAAGAAGAAAAAAGGGAATTGGAAGAATATCTGAAGGACAGTGAAGAAGATGCACTGAAGCTAATACATCATGAAAGCTTACTGAATGCTGAAAAGACCAAACTGGCCTATAAGGAAGACCAAATGCAAAATAGGAAAGAGACATGGCAAGGCAAAGTATTACATGGCCAGTACACACACATACACACACACAAACTAGCAGGCAAAGCAGATAACAAGACCTGGCAATGCCCAAGAGCAGGAAAGTTGAAGAAAGAGACAGAGGGGCTAATTCTGGCTGCACAAGACCAAGCCTTAAGAACAAATGCATATAAAGCCAGAATTGAGAAGATAGCAACAGACAGCAAATGTTTCCTCTGCAAAGAAGCCAGAGAAACAGTAGACCACCTAGTTAGCTGCTGCAAGAAGATTGTACAGACTGACTACAAACAATG